AAAAAAAAAAGCAAAAAAAAGAAGAGAGAAGTAAGAAATAGAGGCTGAAAATAGAATTTTAGCGGAAATTGTGCGAAAATTGGTCCATCGCACTGACGATTGCAGCAGGGGTGGAAGTCAGTGAAAAATATTTGGTTGGTATGGTGTATTGGTTGTTTTGAAATGTGTATAATCAGAAAACCAAGCGAAATGGTTAGCAGAAAACGCTTGTGGCCTCTTTTAAAACCATTGAGCATTGGTTAGAAAATCCCAATAACCAAAGATATTTGGTGACAATTTGATACTTGTACCATGATTATGTGCAAACCATGATAATGTCAATTTTTTCCTGTCTTTTTTTTGTTTTCGTTTTTTTGATCTTTTTTTTTCACGGCTTATTCAATTCGGCACATTTGGATAGACTTAGAAGACTGCTCTCAATTAAGATTTTTTGCTACGAAACGATTTGCGAAACCGTTGTGATGCTAGTATACATACACTTTTTTCCTTCTTTTCCCTTTTCTTTTTCTTTTTGCATTTTTCACTTTCATAACTTCCGATTTGATACATTCACTTTCAGGACTGTTTTGATAGAACCATTCATGGGCTCCAGGGTTGCTAAAGAACAAATCACGCACTTTTTTTTTTGGATGATTTATATTGTGTTCATAGGACTGGAATGGAAATTCAATAATCCTCACAGTAATATATCAAAAGTTGAGTGAAAAAAATAGCCTAGGCTAGCGGACTGAAGACGAATCATCGGACACCTTCTGTAAATTATTCATTTTCATCTCAAATAACTGAAGTTCATCGGCGTAATGAATCAGACGAAGCACAACAAGAATCTAATGATTTTTAAAGCGTTCATAAACTTTTGGTTTTTTACGCGTTAAAAACTTCTAAAATATAAAACCAAAATTAGAACAATTAAAAGGTGTTGACGCTGCGTTGCAAAACAACAAATTTTCTCGTGTTCATGTCAGAAAAAATTTGGTAACTGAACATCGCTGAAAAAAGCGGTTTTCCAGAAGTTTCTGAAGAAAAAAAAAGGATAAAATGTCTGAATGACAAAAACTGTTGATGGTACCAAATGGTGAATGTAAGAAAAAAATTGGAGGCTAATGGATTAAATACTCAACAGTTAGTCTTGCAAAATGAAGGATGCAACTTCAGTGGCTACGGAACGCTGAAATTCGATGTCAATTCCAGAAAATCACTGAGCTGTACTTTTGGTCAAAATAACACTTCCATGCAAAAGATCGAATAAATATCCTTACTGCAGTTCCATTTAACAGTTTAATTCCTCTATCTCGAGAAATGATGTTTGTGTTTTTTTGTAAACTCTGAATGTAGAAGAGAATGTTCAGTTAAAATGTTCAAACTTTTTTTTTCATAAATTGTAAACCTTAATCTTTTGACGTTGTTCATGCTCTACTCACTGACGCCATTTCTTCCCTCTTTGTGTCGATCTTTTCGCTCTTATCTCTTCATCTCGCTTAAGCTAACTTTGCATTTCAATTTGACAGTCATAGATTGAATTTTGCAACAGATAAGGCTCTGGCATGACTCTCCAATTACCAAACGAGTCAGCCATACCACAGCGAAATGTCAAACGATTAACCTCGTTGCTTTAAATTAATTGAAAAGATCTTTCCATAGTCCCATTAATCGTCCCATTAAGCCGCCTGACTTCTCATTTGCTTCTTTCCTTCTGTTAATTTCTCCTTCTTTCTTCAATGGTACAGATAGTTGAAACAAC